TTTTTTTTGCAGGTCGCTCGATTACACGAAGTCGTGTACGGAACGCGTACGCCGCAGTCTCGACTGTTTCGATCAGAGAGAAAAAATTGCTCGCTCCGGTTCACAGTTTACACAGTTTACACTACTTTACACACGGCTTTACACGGTTTCGCACGGTTTTACAACGCGCGAGAAGCAAACGCGCTGGGTTAATGTGTGTCAATGCGCCTCCGCTCATTTATAGCTCGATTGCGTAAACTATCGAATCACCGAGCCGTGCCGTGGCTGCAGGCAGCCACTCTCTTTAGCCACCAAAGGTGATAAAAGGTAACAACGCGAACGTGCTCGCTGGCTGCACTTCTCCGAGATAAATCCCGCGCCCTCGCGACTCGATCGCGTCATTTATTAATATTTAACGCGAGCTGTTGGCGGCTACGTTTTTTTTTTTTTTTTTCTTTTACACCAGAGATAGATTTCAACGTATTGACGTCTTTCAATCTAAAGTTTCTCCTAAAGAGGCATCATCCCCTTTTTCTTTTTCCTTGCTCTCGCATTCCCCGCGAGTCTGCCTCTGTCTAGCTCGAGTCGAGAACGTATCGCTCTTTTTCTCCATCAACCTCTCAATCCGTCTCCCTTCTGCCTTCGGAGGATCGACGTGGAATTGGGGATTTTATCGTGACGCTTCGTGTATTAACGAACTTCGACGAGCAAAGAACGGTCGCGGATTTAACGGGTGCGCCTGGATCAGCGCGGCTATTCTCGTCCGTGGAAAAGAAATTTAATATCGTTCCCACTCACGCCTTCGGTCGATGAATTTCGATGGCTATCCCGATATCTCTCCCTCGAGGTTTCCCTCCCATCGTCTCGCTTGCTTTACCCAGGCTTATCTGAAATAAACAACCGCCAGTCATCGTATTTTTGATAAAACCAATAAACCCTCACGCCGGAAATGTACACCGCTCAGCGCCACGAAGGTGGAGACAGTTGATCGGAACTTTCGCGTGGAACTGTCAGTTTCACGCTCGAGTGAAAGGAAGGATAAACACGGGGCAACGCAATGGCTAGGCTATATCGATAGGCGGTAGATAAAGATCTCGTTCAACGATTTTTCGACAAATTTCTGTCGGTTTCGTTCGCTAGAGATATCTGTGTACTGTGTGTTCCTTATCGAGCGTGATTTGTCGAATCAGAATCGCGTATCGCGAAATCACTGATAAATCATGATTAAATCTACTTTCTCGGCTGCGTTTATTCATGCCCGTCTATATAGCGTCTAGCGTCTGAATCTACTGAGAAAGGCTATATATATATATATATATTCTCCCTTTATCTCTAATAAGTAATTCAGGCACATTGCAGCGAAAATAGCGCTCTGATGTAAATTACGTTTTCCCGTAACGAGGAACATTCGTATTAGAAAACAGATTCCCTGCAAACAAAGGATATGCTTGAAGAAATTGATGGTTAGACTAGCAGCGAGGTGAATGGGGATTGATGAAAATGGAAGTTAACACGCTTCTAACCGTGTTCCTCTGTTGGCACGTGAATGTGTCCTTAATGACAACCTTCGTTTTCGTATCGTGAAAGCGGACATTTCTTTGCTGCAGGTTTATTTTAAAATTCCTGCAGAGTGTCTGACGAAGATCGATTTACGCAGTTTACGGAATCCTGCGATTCCGCACGATACGCAAAAAAGAAGAGCGAACAAAGATGTTATGTTTAGAATCAAGATATTCTTCGTTCATCGATTCCAAAAAAA